GTAGAGTTTGGACTTTATCGCTATCGCGTCCCACTCTACTACCTGCCAGCTGTGGTACAGAAGTGAAGTGAATATGACGGATTGAATATCACTCTTTCATCTGTTACTAGGATTATGGAGTTGATATTGATGCGCCGCCTTGGTGGCATAGATGAAGAGATTGGGCATTTCACGCTATTTGCATCCCACTCTGTCATCTGGTGGTTGCTGTAGTTTCCTTCATATTCCATATGGGCAGAAAATGGAAAGATGGGCAATATGCTCTTTCTGTAACAGTTGGAATGTAATTAAATTGGGTTGATGGGCAATACCGGGACATGCATCCCACATCCTAATTGGCCAACCTTTCCCCCTCTGGTACCAGGAGTGCAGAGATGTTAGCTATGTGCTCCCTCTGTGATCACATGTAAAATAGGCTAGACTGGACAGGACGAATGGGCAATACTGCATTAGCATTCCACTTCATTATCTGTCACATTCTATGGCATGGAACTTGGAGAATTATCAATATGCTTCTCTTTGAATCACATTCATTTAATTATTTAATTATTATTAAATGTCATCTTGTTGTGTTGTTGGGTGCAAGAATCAATGGAAAATGAATATGCTGTATCTGGAATTTTTATTTCTAGAAAATATTCACATCATTAAAATTGCACCGTAATGTCACTCTTTACATTCACATTGTCGTCTTCTTTGCGCTGGCTAGGCAGAACTGCGGATCGTACCACACAAGTCCATGACCATTCAGCACATAGGTATAGGCATCTAAAGATTTATATGCCCTCAGTTTCTCTTTACGCTCGGTTTCTCTATCGGATAGGTGTAGAAGTCACGCCACTCAACCGGAGGTAGCGTTAACGTTAATCCTGCCAGATCGTCCATCCATTGACAGCGTGTACAGTACAGGTCAGCCAATCTGGTTCCGTCCGTTAAAATTAACTTTTGCAAATAACAATCGCGGTCCTGGACACTGAGTGACCTTGCACATTAAGATAAAATCGGATTTTCTCCAGTCATTGTTAAAAAACAAGCTAACAAAACTTGCAAACTAACGTTAGGGAAGCGGCCAGAGGGATCGTTCTGCCTCCACCTAAGCTCCGCCCACAAAAAACGTTATCATGTTTACCAACTGAAAAGGGGTCTATTGAAACTTTGTTGATGTTGTTATTGTTAGGAGTGTAAATATTAATCGATTCGTATCGATGCATTGATTATACAGCCGACGATTCGATGCATCGATGCGTCCGCAAGAGTATCGATTAATGTTTTTGTTTTGCCGCCTGTCTATTTTCAGCATCCGCTCATATGCGTACAAACGATTGTTGTTATGCACTGGGCTAACGTTAGTTAGTCACCGAACTAAACTGCCAGTGTGAATCAGTCCCTCCAGAAAAACGCGATTATGCGATCGCTGAATTCAATGCATAATCAGCCAAAGTCCGCATATTTATGCGGGGGTCGCATTTTTTCAAATACTCCGCAATTTCGCCGCATAAATTGCTGATTTCCGCGCAAAATATGCGGGGCTTGCATGATTTCATAATCCCCGCATTTTCGTCGCAAAAAAGTCACATATATCTTAGCAGAAAGTTGGAAAATGTTGCGTTTGCTTCACACGAGAGCAGCCGTTTCCCCCTGTTGCCATGGGAACGTTATGAAGTGACGTAATTACGCGACGTGAACATCATCGAAAAGCTGTAAAACAGGAGCACACTTTATTTTTTTCATTTATTCATTTTTACTGAAGTTGTAGCATATTCCTCTAGTAAAGCTACAGAACTTGTTGGACTCATCAATGTTTTGTAAGTTTGATGTGTTTATTAAGGTCTTGTAACGCGTTGTGTCGGGAAGAAAAATAGGGATAGCTCACAGCTGGAGTTATTGCAGAGGCCAGACAGACTCACGGAGGCGGTTGGCATCTCACAACTCGCACTTTATTCCCAAATCGAACTCGTATAACTGTCTGTCACACGTTCTACCGTCCACATCGTTACTTAATAAACAAAATAAGATGAAGTAGCATCAAACAGAAATTACCCGCACACATGTGGTGTTCGAGGTTGCATGACACATACAATATAATACTGCAGACAGTTCAACAGGGAGCGCGGAGCCCTTAAAGGGGCCACACCTTATTTCCACTCGTTACAGTCTGAAATAAAAAAAGATTAGAAATTAAATATTTCCAGCACTTTCTGTGATGTAGTATGCTTATCATAGGAAGTAATAAGAAAGGACTCTTTAAATTAAAGTAGTAGCCTAGTGAGAACAGGGTGTTGGGGGAATCACTTTTTTTTCTCTTTTTCATCAAACCGCAGTTTTTGCAAGTTCCCGCAATTTTTGCAAGTTCCCGCAATTTTTGCAAATTCCCGCAATTTCATCGCAAAAAATTGCATAAATATCCCGCATATTCCATCGCATTTTTAAAGAAAACGGGCCGCGTAATCAAGGATTTTTGCCCGCAACAATCACAAAAAAAAACTCCGCGTTTTTCTGGAAGGACTGGTGAATGCACCCTCAGTCACTTAGTTGGCGAATTCCAAGCTAGCAGTTACTAACGTAAACAAACAGGCGCTAACGTGTAAAAAAGGCTACTTCAACAGCTTACTTGAAAAGTCTAGGGTGCTTTCACACCAACTCGGAACGGAACGGGCACGGTTCGCATGAAAAATCGCTAATTATGTAAACGCTGTCTGTCATGCGGACCCGGGTGCGCACTGGGGTACCAAACCCGAGACTGCCTGGAGGAGGTGCGCTGAGTTCGGTTGCACTCGAACCGTGCCGCGGCTCGCGTAAATGTGAAAGCATCACGGACTCGGGTGCGCACTTGTTCAGGAAGTAAGTGACCTGCGCATGCTTTTTAGCTGATTATGATGTATTTAGTTAAATAAAACACATGTAAGGGATGATAGTGTTGATAATTTACCTTGGATAAGAGCGAGAGTGAGTCTGTATTCGCACACACATAGCGCGTGGACTCAGGGCAACAAATTAATGGAAATCCACTGTCTCCTGCGTTTGCAATCAGCAAAAAGCCAAATGCGACACACAGTAAACCGGTGTTGTTCACTCAGCTGTGCATAATAGCACCAAATAAAATAAAAAAACACAATATATTGACCCGCGTTCTGTTTTCTATCATGCGTCGTGCACGTTTGCGATGACGTAAGATGCACGGAAACGCACCAGGATTCGATAGAATCAAGTTTAGAACTGTATGCAGTAACTGTTATATTTGCTGTTCTATTTGCAGTGCATTGAGCACAACATACACATTATGTGAATAGAATACTGTTCCTGTATTCTCAATAAAAGGCAAATTATAAACATTTTTGTTGATTTATTTTAAACTTAATAGATACCATGTAAAAATATTGATTATTGAATCGTATCGAATCGAATCGTATCGCGGGGAATTCTGAAGTATCTAAAATAATCGAATCGTTGGCTTAAGAAATCGGTATCGTATCGAATCGAATCGTCATGTAGGCTCCGATTTACACCCCTAGTTATTGTCATGCGTGTTCTGGTCTTTATATGGCGATAAAACAAAGCTTTGTTGCGTTGTTGTTGTTTTTTTTAAGTTATTGGGGGTGCGCCAACCCGGTTGGGACATAGAAGGGGGTACGCAGGAAAAAAAGTTTGGGAACCGCTGCCCTAGAGGTTCGACGGCAAAGTTTTTCGGTCCTCAGAAAGAGGTTGGGAGTCACGCCTCTATGAAGAAAGGTGATGGAGAGCAGGGGGGTGTAGAGCTGGTGATGCGTTCCACTCCCGATGCTCTCTCTCCAGGTATTGAACTAGGTCACTAGGTACGCTGGCAATTATTTGGCTGCAGCCTAGCTTGCTGGGTAATTTCACAGCACAGTGAACAGGCATTTGTTCAGTACGGCAATGTGGGTATTACGTTCGCATAACGTCAACTCCATGATACAGTGTTGAGTTCTTCTTCGAAAGGGAACATCTCGATTACGTATGTAACCTGGTTCCCTAAGAAGGAGAACAAGATACTGTCATGTTGCCATACTTCTGTCATGCCTGTACATCTTCCTTCAGACAATATGACGTTGATGTCGTCTTCACTAGGCACCTCTTTGATGACACCCACCTGCGATAGCCAATCAAGACTGGCTTGTAACACAAGTGCTTCAGAAAGCGGCTCACGTAGAGAGTTCCCATAGCGTCAACTCAATGATGCAGTGTCTCGTTCCCTTTCTCAGGGAAGCCGAGATGTTAGTTAAATATATTGAGAGTCCTATATAATTACAAGTTAGCATTAATTTCTTATTTTATGTGTAAGCTTAAATGTGTAAAATAGTCTATTAGAGATATAGTATTATTACTACTGTTTCCGTATTACGTTGTCCAGGACTCCAGGCATCCTAAACTACAGTAATACAGTTTCACTAACTACTTAAATTTCATTTATGGGATCTGTTCTTCAAATAATTGCTAGCTTGATGATATGAACAATAAGGAAAGACAATAAGAATTAAAATAATTTAAGCATTGCTGCACTTAGAGAACAGATTATACAGATTGAACAGATATTAGCACCAACATAATATTTGGGTTGTCACGCGCTGATCATCTTCAACCTCCTCAGTGCATCAAGGAGAAAAGAAGCTAAATTTCATCATCATTGCACATTGTGCATGCTAACAACTTTAGAAGAAAAACATTGTGTGTATGTATGTATGTGTGTGTGTGTGTGTGTGTGTGTGTGCGTGTATGAATGTGTTTTGGTGTTTGAAATGTACAAATGACCATAAATAATAATACAAACCAAATTCTACCTTTTGACTGCTTTTGAATTCTTGACAGATGCCTTTCTCTTTTTTATGCATATGGAATTTTTATTTTCCCTTTTTTAGTTTAAAAAATAAGTCTTTACTAAATTATCAGAGGTTATCAAAATTATCAAAATTATCAGAGGTAATCAAAATAATAATAATAATAAAAAAATACAACCTCAGAACTAGTTTTTGGCTAAAAAATCT